TGCTCCTCTTCCTTGTTTTTGCGGGCCGTTTGCGGGGTTTTTCTTTTTTCTCTTTCTTTATGTGCTCCTTTGTCTTTCGCTCGCTGAGGTTTTCTTTGTTTGGCGCCTTGTGTTCCTGGTCGTGTTTTCTCTGCTCCTTCTGTTTCGGGAGTCTCTTCTCTTGTGGCTTTTCTGGCTGATGGTTCTTTTCTGTGGGTGCGGCCTTGCTTTCCGTTTTTTTGTTGTTTTTTGGGCCCTTTTCCGGCCTGGCCTTGCCCGGCTGTTCTTATCCCGTTTCGTCTCTGTGGTGTTTTGTGTTCGGCGGCGTGCGCGGCGGTGTTCCTTCTTGTTTTGGTGGAGTGTGCCGAGCTGCGTTTGGTCTGCTTTTTGGTGGGGCTGCTAGGCTTCGGGCGGGCGTTCCACTTTTTTTTTTTTCCGCGTCGGCTCGTTTTGCTTTTTTGTCGCGCCTTTGTTTTGTGTCCCTTGGTTGCCTTTCCGCTTTTCCTGTTCGGCCTTCCTCCGCCCCCTCCCTCCATGGCGTCCCTGGCTGGGTGTGGGCTTGTGCTTGCTGTTTCGTGGCGGCCGGGCTGTCGGTAGCCATCTGTTGCCCTTGTATTTCTTCTGCGGTGTTTGCCGTGGGTCTGTTTGCTTTCTGTTCAGTTGCCTTTTTCCTCTGTGCCTTTTCTGTTCGGTCCGGGCGTGTCCGGGTGATGGCGGCTTCCTGTGCCTTCCCTGCTGTGGGGTGGGTCCTCTCGGGCTGCTCCGGGGGTTCGGGGGCCCCCCTGGTGGACGTGCCCCACAGCCCGTGTTCTTCGTATGTTGTCTCTGTAGCCGTTGTAACGGAGGCCTCAATTCTTCTGAATGAGTCAGGGGAATGTGATATAATAAATATAAGTATCATTATAATCTCTATAATTAATCGATATTTATAATATAATAATATGTTTCATTATAATCTCTATAATAAATGATATATATAATATGTATTCATTATAATCCTCTTAATAATGATATATAATATATAATATGTTTCCATTATATCTCATAATAAATGAACATAACTTAATAATATGTTTATCATTATAATTTCTCTTTATATAAGAATGTGGTCTGTCGCACTGAGTCGTGGTGGAGTCCAACCACCACTGGAAGCGTCCACTAACCTCACTCCACCGTTCTTTCTGACCTTTTGCTTTTGTGTGGTTTTAGGATTTCCTGCCGCTGCACAGTTCCAATCCTCCGACCTCTGGGGCTTTATTTTTATGCTCGTTGACCTTTGACCCCCGTGCGCTTTATTTAGTCGTAAACCAGTCTGGGAAACTGACGGGGATTTTCCCCAACTTGTTGCATGTACATTTGGTGTGTCTCTGTGTGTTATGGGGGAAATCAGCACGGCACATTTTGCACTTTTCTGTCAGTTCAAAGTTGGATACTCCTCGTGAGATAATCTACCTCTGAAACTATTAACATTTGATTTTATGTTATTATTATTCTACAGTTTATTTAATAAGAAGACAGATCCAGTGAACCAATAGACAGGCTATCTGATGCTAGTATCATGGTGATTTATAAGTGGATGCTAATTCACAGTCATCCGTCACTAGAAAGCCTTTTATGAAAAATCTTCACAGCTTGAGTCAACAATCAATTATCTTTCTACGCTCTGATTGCGTTGTTTTCATTCATTAGCAGCACGAGGAGGAAACCTGATGTGTTCACAGATTATCTTGTCTCTACTGTTCAGGATAAAGTGAAGAGTTTCATTAAATATCTTACAAAAAATTAACATCATAAAAATGACTACTGGCAGCTTTATAAATTATTAAATATTAATAAAAAATTACAAAATTATCCTGTGAATTACATCTAAATGTAAAATAATGTCAAAACTCTGTACTGTAAATAATCATAAAATTACTTGATATATTTAAAGAAAAATTTTAAAAGATTTAAAAGATTAAAACAAATTTACATAATCTTATAATTTTTTGCAGATATTATTTAATAGATTAACGTTAAATTCAAGTTTAATACTGTTAACATTTCTATTAATTATGTAAAATCAGTGGACATAATGAACCAGTAAAAAAGTATAGTTGCTGTAATTCTTAATGATTAGTTTAGTTAACTGACAGATATGTTGTATAATGATGGGAAGTTGACCATAAATGTTTGTTTACGTGTATAAGCATTGGTTAAACTCCATAATACAGGTTTTTATCCAGGTGTAAACAGCAATAATTACTGTCATTTCACAGATAATGACTTTTATTACAGTTCTATAACTTTAACATTCACATTAAAATAATAAACAATCATTTTTTCTGTTATACTTGGTATTCTATTCGTTTGCCCAGCGCTGTGATTATTAATACTAAAGTTCTTTACATTAACACAGAATTGTCTCATATATTGAATTTGCTTCTGAACTGTGAAGAAAATTCCAGGAGAACTGATTATAATCATTGATTTAATAAACGATGATTTGATCTCTGTTAACAAAATACATTTCTGTCTGTTCATCATTGCTGTGGGAGCCAGGAGCGACCGTCGCCCCCCCCTACAGGCAGAGTGAGACTGGCTCCAGGTCAGCAGCTGGAGTCGAAGTGGATGCTGCTCTGCGAGAAGATTCCTTATTAGTGCTCATTTACAGCTTTTTTACCTTGAGCTTGTAACATGGTTGAAGTGTCCCTCCACCTCTACAGCTGGATGGTTGACGGTCTCATTTAAAGTCATGATGATGGACATTTTTGGGCTTTCATCATCTGGAGAAAACATTAGTTGGGAATAACTACAGAACCTCATTAGAAATCTATCTGACACATTTAACCTGCAAGTTTCCTGTGATTTGAAATGCCACCTGGTCATATTGTGATTTCAATAATACAAAGTAAAAGTGCTCTTTATGCAGAATGACTCATTACATTTTTTATATATGGATGTAATAATAAATCATAATGTAATAATATATAATAGTTAATAATAAATCATAATGTAATAATATATAATAATATATATTTAAATCATAATGTAATAATATATCATAATGTAATCATATATAATAATGTAATAATAAATCATAATGTAATGATATATAATAATGTAATAATATATAATAATGTAATAATATATAATAATGTAGTAATATAATATAATGTATAATATATAATAATGTAGTAATATATAATAATGTAATAATAAATCTAATGTAATATATATAATAATGTAATATAAATCATAATGTAATGATAATATAATAATGTAATAATAAATCATAATGTAATAATATATAATAATGTAGTAATATATAATAATGTAATAATATATAATAATGTAGTAATATATAATAATGTATAATAAATCATAATGTAATAATATATATAATGTAGTAATATATAATAATGTAATAATAAATCATAATGGTAATAATATATAATAATGTAATAATAAATTATAACACTCTGGTTAATGTGCAATACTCTTTTTAAGGATTCAGTTATTAATAATGTATTCATTATTCATAACCCTTTATCTGTCATATACTGCAGCATACATACACATACATCTATATATTGTCATATATTTGATTATAATGAACATACTTTAGACTCTTATTATATTTCTGTGTTGTATATAGTTGTTAGATAATGTAATATAATACATATTTTAACGTTATTATAATTTACCTTGTAATGTAACCAACTGTAATGAATGTAGTGAAATAAAGTATAAGCAGTATAAAATGTAAATGTAAAGACTTTATGCAAATGAGCTCATGACGTCGACCAATAGGAGTCGTTTTCGAGTCTGACCGGAAACGGAAGTGCGCTGTTGTTGTTGTTAGAGGAGGAGGAGGGTTAGTGTTAGTGCTCCGACAGAAACAGCAGAGTGAGCAGATGGAGTACCAGCTGATAATGGCGGTGTCCGGGTTCCCCAGTCTGTACGACTCCACCTGTGTGACGTACCGGGACCTGAACATCCGGAGCGACTCCTGGAGGCGGGTCGCCCACATCGTCGGTGTCCCCGGTGAGAGCCTCCGGGCGGAAACACTGCGGAGCACATCCACCGTGGATCGTTAGACCCTTTATTGATTCATTGATTTATTTCAACCGTTTATCAACAAAACATCAAAACAATACGAGTCCGTCGGTCAATGTCTTCCGACTACCTGTGTCTCTCAAACAGACGCACATTGGTTCCTACTGAAACCTTTGAAAACGGCTCGATGTGAGTTAAATTAATGAAGATCATCATTAAAACTTAAAATAACTTTATTATAACGATTAAATCAACAATTTCCTTCTTGAGAAGATCAAAACAATACAGGTCCGTCTCTCAATACCTTCCGACTATCCTTTTATCTCAACCCGCCGCACATTGGTTCCTACTGAAGGGCTGAAATCAGGATTCATTAACTAGTTTAATCAAACGTTACTCAGACAGGAGCAGATAGCAGGGTGGAAGAAGTACTCGGATACTTTACTGGAGTAAAAGCAGCGTTAAAAGCACAAAAGTAGTTCCAGTCAAGATCAAGATCTGATCTTTTTTCCCAGTGGAGTCTAAACTTTAAAAAAGACAATTTCTTTTAGTTTTTCTTCACAGAAATGAACAAAAAGCTGACATAAAGACCTATTGTGTTTATTTTTTAGTTTTTTTGCACCCCTTAAACACAAGAAGGTCTCAAACCCCCCTGTGAAGCTTTGGCGACCCCTAGTGGTCCAGACCCCCAGGTTGGGAACCACTGCTATAGAGGAATCAGTATTAAACTGAGGCTGTTTCATAACCAGTAAAAACCTTCTTGTAGAACATTTAAGGACTGAATGTACTTATTAAACCCCCCCCCCCACCACCACCACTGGATGTGACGCTCACAGTGTTGTAGATGACATCGATCTCCAGGTAGATGACTCCTTTGGTTGGACCGGTCAGCTCTTTATTCTTCAGCACGTAGCTCTTCTGCTCGCCGTTACGGATCTGACACAAAGACACAGTCAGAGTCCAACTTACTGCCTATATGTTACCTATGTCCTGTATTTATGTGCTACTGATGTCTTTGTTTAAATATTTTAAAATGAATTTGATGATTTAAAGGAGCAATACTCTGTTTACACCCTTTAAACGCCAGTATCTGGATATCTTTGTACTCTTTAGCTTTGTAGTTTCTTTCTGGTCGCACTCACATGTAATAAAGGAAGAGCCACTTTCCCCAGGAAGTCTGCACTCCTGTCCCTGTCCTCGTCAAACACTGTCACCTCCAACACCGAGTGAATGTCTTTCACATTACTGAGGAGAGAGAGGAGGGAGGGAGGAGAGGAGGGATGACGGTGAGCACTGACAGTATACAGTGAGTCTTCAACCTGCATTCTGTGTAAAGGCCAGCTGGGGGCATCGTCTGTATGTATGTATATTAGTGATGCACTGGTATCACTTTATTTAGACCAAATATAAATAGTAACTAGTAATGTAAGTACTTATATTTGGGTACTTACTGATACACTTCCCACTCTTCTTAAGAAATCATTTTCCAGGACCTTTCCAGGTCTCTTTTTTGACAACATAGAACAGCACTTGCTCACAAACGCTCATATGATTTACCGATAGGCCTCGTAGGTGATTGGACACTTAGTGTTTTGTGGCTGATCTCAGTAAACTGACTACAGTTTACTACAGTTTTGCTTGAATTCTTCTGCGTCAAATCAAGTAGAATTTACTTTATTTTACAGAACATTCATCCTCTATAAGAGCGGTGTCTGCTGTAGTGCAAAAATATAAATATAATAAAATAAATATAAATATTTCCGTATTTATTGTGACTTCATATGAAGAGATAGTTTAAACTGCTATGAAAAAATAATAATCTTTTGGGCCAGATTATAATATATTTGTGACATCCTGTAACGGAGCGGAGGAGAGTTGATGGAGGGTGTCTCAGTGTTATCTTTAGGTGGCCAATCTGAGTGAGGGATAAGGTCATTATCTGGTCATTTTAATCAATTTCCAGGTGTTTCCATGACTAGAAAACTAGTCTCTAAACTTCCACGTTTTCCAGGCTATGTGGGAAAGTACTGAATACTATATGAATATATATATGAATACAAATACTAGTTTTATTTTCATCATATGTTCCTCAGTTTCTGATTGTTAATGTTGTAAAAGCTGCTTAAAATATCTCCAAACTGCTGACGTTGCTCCTCAACTAACGAGAAGTTACGTAACATGAGCACAGTACTGATAGTGGTATCATTGCAGCCCCCTAAGAGTATACCAGTACAATGAAAGGTAACCAGGGTGATAAATGTACACAGAGTGATCAACAAAGCGATATGAAGTAGAGATAAACAAACACTCACAAGGTGAAGACTTTGTTCCACTCTGGATTGAGGTTCTTGTAAACAGTGTGTGTCTGTAGTCTGTCGTTATTCAGCTCCAACACACAGAACGGATCACTCTTACCTGGAAAACATGAGTGACACTTAACATTACTCTCAGAATGAGATACAGTAAGTATAAAGAACATTAGAGGAGTATAAAGTACATTAGAGAAGTATAAAGTACATTAAAGGAGTATAAAGTACATTAAAGGAGTATAAAGTACAGTACAGGAGGTATGAGCACTGTGAGGATTGTATTTTGATTACCAGTTACGTCTGCAGCCATGAGTCCTTCGGCTCTCATCACCTTCACCTGCACGATGCCCACGTCTCTGAAGTTAGAGAAGGACTTCAACAAACTCTGGATAAGGAAAACAGAAAGATGTTATTCATGCCGCAGTGTTTTGTTCCATGTGACTAACTCTTCCCTGTGTGGTCCCCTGTGTGAGACCCCGCCTGGCTCACTTCCTGGCTCCCGAAACTTGTTAAAAACCCTCTTTGATCAGCTGGAAAATGCTTCGCTGTAAAGCTGGAAACAGTTTTCTGAGCTCATTAAGTTTTTAGACGTATGTGGTTCTAATAGGGTGGTTAAAAAATACAGCAACATACACATAATGCAGCAGTTATTAATCCAAAAACAGTTTATATAATAGCAAAACAATGTTGCTTTTACTATTCATACTTTATGTGAATTTTGCTGATAATATTGAAATACTTTTACTTAAATGTTCCATATGTAAGATTCAGTATCATTTAACAGTCTGCAGTTCACTGAGCGCTTACGTATCGTTTGAGTATCTCCCTGCGCTCCTGCGGGTCGTCCAGCGGTGTGACGGACAGGTCGGCGATGGAGACAGCAGCAGAGGCCGTCAGCGTGACCAGCAGAACCACGTAGCCCCGGGACTCCTCCAGCGGCAGCTCAAGGTGATGAGTTTGCTCTTTAGCCAGAGTGGAAAGATCTAGCTGGCATCTGGAAGACGAACACAGGACGTAAATTCAGCTCATCAACCACATGTGTACAGTAGTGGAGTGTAACTAGTTACTAAAGTACAAGTCTGAGGTACTTTACTTAGTGACAGCTTTAGTTAAAAAAACATTCAAATGTAAAAGCTAGTCGACAGAAAATTAATTGTTCTGTTTTCATTCTTTTTTGATCAACATTTTTCATGCATCCCCATTTATATCAACAAATATAAATTAAATATGAGTAACACTGCTCTGTATAACAGAACAAAGTTCAAACTAACAAAAAACTGAATATTATAACCTCATAAAATAGGTGTTAATGTAGGACTGCATTCGTTTTAACAATTACATTTTAAGTATCTTGAAATGATTCATATGCCTAAAATCTGTACAACCTCAGCTAAAAGGTTATATAAGTCAATAAACCATGATAATTGCTTTTAGAGGGTTAAATATATATTTATATATTTGTCCACTGTGTTTTCTCTGCCTGTCTTACACTGTGTGTCGTGGATTGCTGTAAATTATTTAATACGTGACTGAGTGAGTGCTCATTTGACATTATATACGAAACCAAACCAAACCGCAGTGACTGGTTTAAACTCTTCATTAACCAAGTTTCACCTGTCGTCCCTTGTGACTAACCCGAAAGGGAAAACACATCTGAGAGTGAAACATACAGATGTTCGCTGAAAGGTTTCAGTATGAGAAATGAATCATAAGATGGCCTCCACAGTGTTCTCCACCACCAACATCTAAACACAGAACGAGAGAATATATTTTGAAAGAACACTGTTCATCCCTCTGGTAGAGTCAGTAATCTATAACAAGGAGCTCTGAAGCTGGAGGTTCATGGTGGAATGACACCACACTCACACATGTTAGGGTTCTACTTCATTTCATTACCTACATCATTGTTACACATAATAGTGCTTAATGTAGAATGAGGTTCTACGTTCTTTAGAAAGTTCTTGTGATCAATGAAAAGGTTTTAGAGGTCCTGTAGTATGCCCTAGGGGTTACTGATGAGGTTCTACATCCTTTAGGAGATCCTTGTGGTAACTGAAAATGTTCTAGAGGTCCTTCAGAATGTCTTAGTGGTCACTGATGAGGTTCTGGTGATCATTGAGGGGGTTCAAGTGGTCCTTCAGGAGGTCCTTGTGGCCACTGAGGAGGTTCTAAATCCTTTAGGAGACCATTGGGGTCACTGAAAAGGTTCTACAATTCATTTACAAGATCCTAATAATCATTGAGGATGTTCTGGTGGTCCTTCAGGAGGTCATAGTGGTCATGAAGAAGGTTTTATGTCCTATAAGAGAGTCTAGTGGTTACTGAGGAGGTTCTACATTCTGAATCCTCATTCAGTGGTTTTAGTGGTTATTGAACATTGAACAATGTGTAGTTCCTCTAAGATCATAAGGTCATTTAAAAAGTTTGAGAAGATCTTTAGGATATTAAATGAGTACTTTAGAAAGTGATGGTCATTGAGGACAGTAAATTGTTATTTAAATGGTTCCTAATGGTCATTGAGGAAGTTCTAGTGAACACAGAACACAATTTATGTTTGGTTTAACAACTCTTATTATTTTACTAATGAGACAATCTGACCGTCCAATGAAGTCGTCCCTCCTCCCAGTGTCTCTGTCCCACACTGTGATCTCCAACACTCCTCCTGTCTCTTCGTACAGATGAAGGTCAAACTGTTCCCTCCACTGTGGATTCAGGGTCTTTGGCACTGTCTGCTCACACAAAAACAAATGAGAAACATGCTCTTAATTTGAAGGAGAACAAGTTACATCTTCAAACATGAGCGTCTCTCCTGAGGAAACCAGAGATAAAGAGTAACTGAATACATTTACTGAAGTAATGTTGTTGAGTACTTTACTTCTACTACCATACTCAAGTATTTCCATCATCAACTCTGCTACAATTCAGAGGAAAATATTGTACTTTTTACTCTATTACATGTGTTTGATAACTTGAATTACTCTGCAGATTCTGATTATTACAAAACACAATCAACAAATACATTCTAATTAATCAATACACCTTTATTGATCCCCTGGGGGTTATTCACAAGCTACCCAGCGTTACACAAAGTAACATATGTAAAATATCTAGATTTCAAGATAAATTAAAATTAGACACATTAATGCATCAATAATTAAGAAGAAGAAGAAGAAGATATACTTTATTAATCCCCTAGGGGAAATTGTTCTTTTCACTCTTTTTTTATACACAACACACACTGGCCTGAAATACACTACTTCATGCACATGTGGACATGCAAAGGGGAGAGATGGTGGAGTGATGGGGCTGCCGCGTTACCAGGGCCTCATGAGCAGGTTTGGGGTTAGGTTGCCTTGCTCAAGGCACCTCGGCAGTGCACAGGAGGTGAAACTGGCACCTCCTCCAGCTACCAGTCCACACTATTATTATATATATAATTATATATTTTTTGGATATTCTATCAGTCCTTTAAGAGTTTTAGTGAGCATTATAGCGTTCTACAGTTCCTTCAAAAAGTTCTAGTGGTCATTGAGAAGGTTCTAGAGGTCCTTTAGTTTGCCCTTAGGGTTATTCAGAAGGTTCTTCATCCTTTAGGGGATCCTTGTGATCACTGAGGAGGTTCTACACCCATAGGTCATTCAGGAGGCAATAGTGGGCACTGAGGAAGTAATGGAGTTGTCTTAAGAGGTCCTAGTTATCATTGACAAGGTTCTACATCCTTTGGGAGGTTCTAGTGGTCACTGTGGAGGTTCTAGTGGTTCTTTGATATGCCCTAGGGGCTTATTGAAGAGGTTCTACGTCATTTGGGAGATCCTTGTGACCATTGAAGAGGTTCTACGTCTTTTAGAAGGTTCTTGTGGTTATTGAAAAGATTCAAGAGGTCCTTCACAACATCTTAGTAATCATTAAAGAGGTTCTACAGTTCCTTTATGAGATCTTAGTAATCATTGAGGATGTTCTACATCCTTTGGGAGGTTCTAGGGGTTATTGAGGAGGTTCTATATCATTTAAGAGATCCTTGTGATGACTGAAAAGTTCTACGTCCTTTAGAAGGTTCTCGAAAGATTTTATAGTCCTTCAGGAGGCTGTAGTGGTCACTGAGAAGGACACTTGGTACTTTAGGATATTCTCTGAGTCCTTAAGGAGAATAACGTGATATATTTACATGTTAATTAAAAATGTCGATGCTAACATTCAGTAACATATTGAGTATTTCTACACTGTGGTATATTTTACTTGAGTACTTCCTCCACCACTACTGACCGGAACCAGAACCGAGGTCAGCGTTAGCCTACCTTGCTCCTGTACTTCTGGGGTCCCAGTCTGAACTTGACGTATGGGTCGCTCAGACCGTTGGGGTCCATGGGAATCAGGTTCCGGCCTTCGATCAGCGCGATGCTGACGATCCCTCTCCAGAGCTGGGATTTCCGATGCAGCTCTGAGAGACGCACTGACTGCTGCTGCTGGTCCATACACACAGATACAAACACTGAACATTATGTGTCAAATGTGAGGAAGAAGACGAACAGCATGCAGGGCCCTGCTCTTCGTATGTTAGCTTGATTTAGATGTCTAGAATTGGACCTGAGCCCAGATTTCACTGCTTCAAATCTGTCTTAAACTATCGATCTGGAACTGTTGTCAGATTGGAGTTGAATGGATCCTTTCTTTGGAGCCATGTTGAGAAATTATATAATCATATTTTCAGATGAAATTGCTGATGTTGAAAGATGTTGGAAGAACTGAACGGGATAAATGAGATGATAAAGGAACAATGGGACAACTTCAGTGGATACAGAGTTTGATGGTTTTGTACAGCAGCTCTATAATTGTATAATTATACATCATTGTATCCAAATATCTGATGTTTTTATGTTAGTGTCTGTTGGTTTCCTGCATGTTCTTTGTTTCTATTGTTGCTGGATATTCTGAAGCACTAATTGTGTAACTTAAAATCCACGCCTATAGATGATAAGATAGTCGGGGTGTGAACTGCTGTTCTCACCACAAATAATTTTCCCCCATTAAACTGACATTAACATTAATTTAGCCCTTAAATAACAGTTAAAATCAAGTAGAATTTATTTTATTCCACAGAAAATTAATATTCTCACATATCAGCCTATTAAAATAAGAGGTAGAAAGTCTTTGTTGTACATATAATTAACAATAGTAACCACAACAAATGTGAATGTGATCATTAATAACAGACTGTACATGTGACCGTCTACAGCTGTTTTTTCCACTGCAAGTGGTGTGAACGGCTGTAGACTGGGGTTTTAATTGAAGGTTCACGGTAGTTAATTCCAGGATATTTGGTCAAAATTAGTCTCTAAATGTCCAGGGGAACCCTGCAGATTCTCTCCAATACACAGCCATATCAAAGAGCTGGGACTGAACAAAAATAGATACAAAACAAACAAAATAACATAGAAATGACTGCAATTATGACTGTATTTGAGTCATTTGAGCTAGACTTTTCCTTTAAGATAACTTCAGTTGAAAAGAACAAATCAACTTTTAGAAGAACAGGGCCAGTGGATGGAAAGGAGCTACAGCAACAATCAACATCTAAGGAGCTCCAAACACAACGTGTGCAACGTCTGTTTGACGCCATAAAAAATATCTGAGATGAACATGAACAAAAAGAGACAGAGAGGTGATCAGTGTGAAGGTTTTAGTGACAGTTAATGGAAAGCGGCACAAACACACAATGATGATGATGATGATGTTTTTTTTTACCTTAGTGGATCGTTTCCAGGACCTCCTGAGCAGCATAGTCTGAATATCACATTAAAATACATTAATTCAGCTGCAGGGTGGGAAAAGACTAATGGTTTAACTGGCTGCAAACAAAAAACAACCTTAAATACAGAATACAATGCACAGCAGGAGTACTGCAGCCACTAGGAGGCGCTATAGGACGGCTTTATTTCTAACTACAAGCAGCTAAAACAAGTGATGGAGGGGAGGCGTACGGCTTAACTTCAGTTCAGCTCCATTAATAAAAAGAGAGAAACACTCCACCGGTGCTGAATATTCATCGTCACGACCTCACGGGCTCATTAGCTTTGATCCATCTGAGCTCTTCAGTGTCGTCGCTCTCCTGAATCTGCTTTCTGTTGCTGTTTGCTGACTCATTTCACATCTTTAATCCTCTTTTCTCTTTCTCTGTGTCTTCCTCTCTGACTGCAGCCTATAATTCATTTATGTGCTGAATAAAACATGAACGAGACAGACTGTGGTTCATATCTTAGTGCTGAGGACAACTTCAGAGTCCCTCTTCTGACAGATACTGATCAGGGATATATATATATAAGCCCCACCCCTTTTTGCTCTGTGCTCCAATCACAGTTGAGCAAGCCTCGGTCAACTTCCTCCCTTCCCATACTGAGATATGCTACATGCTAAGATAATCTATGTTGAAAAGACAACCACAGATAAAAGAGAACTAATAACCTAGTTAATCTACATCAGACAGTAAAATTGTGTTCACACATACTCTCTCAAAACTTTAACGTGGTAAATTCAAACCACATAAATTCAGATAATTTTCTAAGTAAAATGCGTAAATGCAATCAATTCAATGGTACTTAAAATTCAATATTAAAGGATATAAAGTCTGAATATCTCTGCCGGTGAGTTTCTGAATGTCTGGAGTTCCCCTTTAAGTATTCAGTAGTTTTCACAATTAGTTATTCACAGTTGCTTCTGATCGATGCCACGTTGACGTCAGTGGTGAGGAGACTCTTTATCATATTTCATGTTTATTTCAAGACCTGCTGAGAGACGATGAAGCCAAAACAGAACTGAAACCAACAACAGCTAAAAGACTAACTATTATATAATATTATTGATCCTCACTGGACGAAGAGGTGGAGGGGAATGGGTCTATCGGGGGAGAAGCTAGAGTCTGATCACCGCTACACTCACTTTGTTCACGTACGGCTTCCACCGATACGCCTTAACCTCCCTCCGCTGCAGGAAACAGCACAAACACTCATCATTACCGACGAAAACTAAAGTAGAACTCACAGAGAAAGAGTTCGTGTTCTCACATGTGTGTTTGTAATCTGGTAGAGCTGAAATAATTAGTTTGTTAATGGATTAGTAAAGAGATTCCCAACCTTTTGTCTACCTGTGACCCTCAGTGACTGGTTGCATTCACTGCGTCTATTTTATAGGCAGTTTCTGTACTTTTTAACTAACCCTAACTACAACCATAACTAAATTCTAAAATTACACTAAACAACTAAATGTAAAAACTACTACATTGCAAATCTGTAATTATTTTTTGCATTTACTGTTAAATTCAAGTTTAATACTGTTAATCCATTTCTAAAATTATGTAAAATCAGTGACTATTAATTATTAGTTAAACATAAGTATTTGTTGTGTAATTTTACATGGATTTGTTTGCTAATTGACAGATATTTTGCATAACTCTGGAAGTTTTCACAACAGAAACATTGAAATACAGTTTATCAGTGTATAAGCATTGGTAAACTGTCAAAATACAGTTTTTATTAGTGAAAACAGCAATAATTACTGT